CGATGGCCGTTTTGGGTACGGATTGTCCTCAGGCCCTCCCACCAATTGTCATGGGTCCTGGTCCGGCGTATCTTCCTTATCTAGGACTGCGATCATTGCTTATCTTGTTATTACCATTCTCAACCATGGACACGACCGCGAAGGGTACAGTGTTGCTATGCGATCGTTGACGCATGCATTGACGAGCCTCGGATGTCATGCATCACAAGGCTCGGTATCTTGTCCCCGCCACAAGTTCTCCTTGGCTTTCTCGTTTCACACTGCAGAGCGCTATTAGAGGGATGTTGCGATCAATCCTTTGCCAGGAGACCTTTACTTGGGAGCTATCGCCCTTGCCTTGCACTATCACTCTCCTCTTGTGCTCACAACAGCTAGAGATATGCCTGTTAGCGCTGCAGATCTTCCGGAGGAGCTCATCCACCTCATCGTCGACTTCCTCTCCGGCCAGTACCTCTCCAACTTCCCGGAGGAGGCCAAATACATGCCGTCGGATAGACCGCTGCGGCTGACGAAGCGGCAGCTGGGCGCGTGCTCCCTGACCTGCCGACACTGGGCCGCGCACGTCCGGCACCAGATTTTCTACGAGCTCACCTTGCGCTCTCACGAGGACGCGCGGATGCTCCTTGCGTTCGCCCGGCCGCCTACCGCCTCGTCGCGGTTCGGGATCGCGCAGTACGTGCAGGGTTTGAAGCTTAGCATCGACCTGGCAGACGTCCCCTGGGCGTACCTCATCTACACCTTCAGCTATCTCTTTCCCAACATGGACGAAGGCGCGCTACAGCTGTCCGTCCGGGGCCCCAGCCAGGACGCCGCCGTCTGCTTCTCCTCGATACACCACGCCGCACCGAAGACGCTCCCTGCGTCGCTCTCCGTCTCGTACGGCCTGCTCGTCGAGGACGTCCGCTTCGAGCAAGCCGCCGACCTCGTCGCACTCCTGCGCTCCGTGCACAACCCGCCCGCGGACACGCAGCCGCGCTCGTTCCTGGGCCGCCTGCCCGCGGGATACTACAAGTTCCGGCGCGTGTCCTTCGCGCACGCCACGACGAAGCGCGTGCCCCTGCAGCGCCTGTGGGTTGACGACCTCGGCGTGCTCGACCTCTACATGGCCGGCTGCCCCGCGCCCTGGGCGTTCCTGCGCCCGTTCGTCGTGACGCGCGCCCCCGCCACGCTCGCCCGCGTCCCGACACACGCGTGGGTCCCGCACCTGCGCGCGCACGAGCTCGAGCTCGTCGAGCACCTGCTCCGCGCGATCGCGCTGCACAACTGCGGGTGCGCACGCGAGGGCGAGCCCGAGGCCGAGGTAGCGGCCGGCCACGACGTGTTCCATCTGCAGATGCAGCCCGGCAGCCGTGAGTCCCCTCGTCTACGTCCTCCCGAGCTGTAGAGCGCGCCGCTGACCGCACGCTGGGGGCAGTCTTCGCGCCCGACGGCTTCCGCGCTACGCTCCGCTCGGGGTGCCTCCGCACGTGCTGGCGCGACGTCGACGTCACGGTCGCCTCCACGGGCGTCGTGCGCGAGCTGCGCGTCGTCCTGAGCGAGCACATGGCGTTCGTCCCCGCGTGCTGGGCCGCGCTCGACGACGCCGCGGCGCCGTTCGGCCAGGAGATGCGCGCGGTCGTCGTGCAGTTCGAGGACAGCGTCGGCCCGTGCGCTGCGCGCGACCTCGCGCGGGACATCGAGGCGCACATGCCGCTCGTGCGCGCGGCGAGCAAGCTGCAGTTCTGGAGACGGGTGACGAAGACGCGGCCCTTGGTGTATGTCAAGTATGACGCAGACGAGTGCGCTGAGAGTAAGGGTGAGGAGAGTCAAGGTAGGCTGAAACTGTTGGCTGCCAAGTTTTCTAAGCGAGACTGACCTCGGTCGTTCAGAGCGAAAGCCTCTCGATATCATGTCTCGAGCCAACTTCTATTTCTGAGACGTTTGGCTTCTCAGACGCGGTGACGAATAGGGCAAGGACTAACATTCTGCTTTCTACAACAAAACGTAGACCACATCGGATGCTTTATTGTCTGTCTCCTCGCCATCATCTTCATCGTCCTCGCACAGCACCTGCCGATCCCCATATCATCCTCCTCGGCCGCATCCCAAACAACGTGTACAGACTCTCTGAGACGGCTCGCCATCCTTGGACATCACAACGCCAGGCATTACAGGCTCAGTGGGCCTTTAGAGATCGTAGGCCGCACAGAAAGGTGCCCACTGGCCTTGTAGCTCCATGCGCAGTTTATGCACTTTGCAGCAGCCGTAAATAGCGCGCCTTCGGGCCATCAAATAGTCCGCAATCTGCCTGCCAGGTGCGTAGAGGACAGAGTCGACGTTGGCAACATCCCTTCGATGACCACTTGTGCATGAGGGTAAAAGGCGGATGGCCACGAATGTACAATGTGAAGTAGAAGTGAATCATATGCTGTGAGTCCATAGCCCGCGTCAATGCCATGAAGAGTACTGTAGCAACAATTTGCGCACCTCAGAAGTTGCCTTCTCCGTTGCCCTTATCAGACTCGTCGACCCGGTGCCGTGCGGCATTCTCGATGCTCAGCACGTCCAACGTCTTCATTGCAATGCTAGCCGCTTAGAACGGGGGAGCTCAGCCGGAGTCAAAGGTGCCCAGTCTCTGCATATCGTTCCGGACTAGAAAGTGGACATCGCGGCAATGGTGTGCGTGGACTGACGATAAAACCGCCTGAAAATCGGCCCAGATATTCATTTTTAGAACTCCGCGGCAAAACCCGGGGAGACCACATTTGGCAACCGTCTTCCTGGTCAATCAACCGCGACATGGCTCACGCAGAAGATACGCGAGACGCGGCTGTTCTGTGGCCAAGAATACTACAGTTCGACCAATTGTGTTTTATTTGAGGTAGAGACAAATAAAAGCCCGGCTGTCCCGGTGCTTGGCCCTGCCGAAACTTGGACGGCCAAATCTCCGTCAGGCTGCAAGTCCCGTTGGTGCGCTACGGCTAGGCTTTTCCCTGTCGGGATCCTCTGTCTCGCGCCATTTCCTCCTATAAGTTTTGTACCCACCCTCTCTTGTTACAGTGGCGGTTGAGACTCTTGAGCAACCGTGAGCGCTGCTACTGGCGATTGCTTCGCGGTGGTCTCTGAAGGTACGTCATCGATCGTTTTGACAACAGCCTATGCACTGTCTGACGTGGATGCAGTTTATGTTCAAGATGTTTCTTGTTTTACGGGCATAATCTGATTGAGCGCTATAACGAAGCCAGCGGATCCGCCGGCTTCGCGGAATATTTATCGACCGCGCCGGGGCTCGTCTGCGGCAGTATGCGCCACTTAAGCTATGGTACAGCGGCCTGTGTTAGCTTTGTGACAAATACGCAACCATGACTCAACAACAAAGGATCCCAGTATGGGATAAGGAGGTATAAAACACACTTCTTCAACGCGAGTGTTCTCCGTGCTCCAATTCTCATAACTCCCCCGTTCTGCTACCATACGCTGACAGCATGGCTCTTCCAAACGGGATGGCGCATTTTCGCACCCGTAACATATTTCGAAACCCTGCTTTGTTTTACCACGCTGTCAAAAACACCGAAACGAACTTCGTTCCTGAACATGCGTCGAGCAGAGGTACTTACAAGGAATTCAATGAGCTTGGTCTAGAGGTGCTCCAATTCTTCATTTACCTATTACTCATGCCTGACTATGAGTCTTCTTGTTAGTCCGAACTAGGTTGCATTGTAAGAGGTCCGCATACCGCCAGCGGCTATGACGACGTGACATATGGGCATGTCGTTGCCTTTCTGCAGGACCCCATTAATGTGAGCGCAGGGCGCTTGTGAAGCATTGCTTATGGAACTAATTTCCATTGAACAGGGCCATGATAAAGCGATCGTGAGTATTGAAGTGTCTGCTGCCTCTCATGCAGGAGTTGGCGGCGATAAACCCGCCACATGCATCATCAACCGCACTTTTCACCTGCGCTGGGACGAAATTACAAGCCAGCACCTCCACCTTTCCCTTCGTGACTACACTCCGAACGAATTCTGCAACATGCTTCGGGAGGCGAGCCTCGTTTCGTCGTGCTGCAACCGCATTCACGCGCTGACTCTAGTGCTCGCTCCAGCGCATCGTCTTTGTCCCTCTCCGTACCCGCCTGATACACAAAACAGAGAGGTCGCACGACGACGGCATTGTGTGGTTTCCCGCTTTCGAAGATGTGCGGCTTTCTGCTCTTTGGTCTAAGGCTTCTTGCTAACGCCGGTTCCAGCATGTCGAAACCGTCAACGGCATCCTTCGCCACGCCGTCACATTTGTTCACGTCACGTCGACTGCCACAGTCCGCTACGAGCATGACGACGCGCTCAAGGTCTTTGAGCTCGTGGTGCCCTTCTCTCAGCTAGAGGTGCTCAGGAACGAGGTGGGTAGGAACCAGAGCATTGCGATGGATGTCGTGGACACCTACTTGTTCTGCATGCCGCCGGATGACGTGGCGCACGACTTGCTCTACAGGGAGAGCAGCCTGCCTCCGAAGTTTGCGTGCGAGGGTACGACCCGCGTGTCTCGCAGACAGTGGGCCGTGGCGCAGAAGAGGGCCACCGACACCCACTTGTGGGAGAGAGTGATTCCTACCTTTTCGTGTCCTTGCCGCAAGCGCTATATGGACAGCCGAGGCAGGGCGTACTGTGCATTCCACGCGGATCCTAGTCTTCAATAACCGCTTGCTGTTTGCAGATGTCAGCATAAATCCCGCCGGTGCCTTGTCAGCACGTCGAGCATACCGTCTGAGTACACCATCAGCTTGAGGAAGTATGGCTGGTGCTGGGAGTGTCCGCACAGTCCAATGGGGCGGAGTCTAATCGGTAATACAGTATAGGACCACTCCTTGGGACACCTGATCAATATTCGCTTCCCCTTCGTATGTCTCTCGCATATAAATACTAAGTAAATCGCATCATACTACTACAGCATATGAAGTACCTCAGTGCAAAGCTGCAAGGCGAAAAGACGAAAGCTGAAGTCAAGGCGAAGGACACAAGACGGAGGTGGTCCAGGACAGCGGCTACCACTCCTTGGGACACCGTGACTGATGTGACAGAGGTGACAACCTGTGACCTATACCAGCAGTCTTGGCAGACGCGGCAGTCACGCGGCAGTCAACCTTGTCACGCCTCAGCCACGCCTAAGCTCAGTGGAATCATCTCTGATGTATTCCAGCTCGATACTTAGCATCTGAGCATTAAGCACATTTTTCACATGAATGGAGCATAAATTGGATTATCAATGAATATTTTCGTGAATTTTAGGTTGACTGTGCGACTCTGGTGACGGTCGCAGCATCACTGAAACCGGCGCGCTTGACAATTTTCGAGACCTTTTGCTCCCCCACCTACGCTACAATCACCGGACGGCTCTGAGCTTCTAATGGCATATAGATATAGATGTATTATATACAGTAAAGTGGTAGTGATAGGCCCTACAGGCTATGCGAGGGCAGAAAGTGGAGTGTCCCAAGGAGTGGTGCTGTCCCAAGGAGTGGTCCTACACTGTATAACCAAATACAGTACGCTTCTGCTTGAACGTCTGCTTTTCGATCTCCGACTCGCTGATGTTTACCCGTCGGAGTCTGGAGCGGATAATACGCTGTGCCCATAGGCGAGGATGATAGACGGGTGTGGCGATGCCTTCGGCGGAGTCGAAGCTGTCACTCATTTAGACAAACACTCAAGTACACACGCGGCAAGGCTCCACAATATTGTTGAAATGTTTGTTCAGCTCCAGTTCAGCTCCGAAAGTAGATGGAATGCAAATGAGCTAACCACTTTCGTAGCTGTAAGGCGACCTTGTATACCTCGCCTTATGGTTGAGGTCCCTTAGCCTTCCGGCAACTCTACCGCAAACACAGATTTCGCAGTCCGCAGGGGAGAACACTCTGAGAGGAAACCTGTAGCCGGCGTGTCAACTGGGGGCCGAGTAGTGCGCGCGGATCTGACGTGGATGAGACTTATCCTAAGACGGACAAGAGGCAGCTTAACGTTCTTCCTGCATCAAGGCTCGCAGACGCCATTCCCAAGTACAGTCTCATTTATGCGTCCGTGGTGCATGCCAGCCTCTGTAAGATAACCTGCTTTGAATCAGACTTATAGCCGTGCTGGCATCGAACGGCAGGTCGCGCTGGCGGCAACTTGAAGGTTCGACACGGAAATGAAGTTTGGACCACCAGCATGGAAGCCCTGACATGACTGTCTCTTAGTACCAAATCTTAATTCAAAGACCTTGAGGCTAGAAGCCGGAAACCAAAAGCTCGAAGCTCCGTTTCTGCCGGCGATCCCTCCCAGCCTCAGTCTACGCTGCGCTGACTACACGAGGCGCGAAACGTGTTCTGTTCAACCTCGCTGTCTGCTGTCTGCTGTCCACGGCAAGTCCTGTCTTTGAACTCGCACTGTCTCGTTGCCTCCGTCTCATCTGTTACTCCATTAGCTATTTGTGCAGAAACATTCAACCGAGGCCGTCTGTTCGAGATGGAACCGGTATGCGAATCGAAATATTCTCAATATGACATGTTACTCACGGGAGGCTTAGATGACGGACACCGATAATAGAGTACAGGATGGCTGGATCTGGGCGGAGAACAGGATGATGGAAAAAGACAAAACCGTTATGCAGGATTACTCGGATGATATCGACTCGCTTCTTGTTCTGGTGAGCATTGTGTTTCTCTCGCATTTGCATCTAACATGTTTTTAGGACGGATTATTTTCTGCTGTCGTTACCGGTTTTATCGTAATATCCGTGGCGATGCTCCAGAGCGATACTGGCCAGACCTCTGTTGACCTGCTTTCTAAGATCTCGGATCAGCTCGCCACCATGACCTACTTAAATTCGACAGTACACGCTGCTACTGCTGCTGCTGCTGCAGTTGCAACTTCGTTCGTGCCATCCGCCGCCGCCCGCTGGATCAATATCCTCTGGTTTCTGAGCCTTACTTTTAGCTTGGCCTCGGCCGTCTTCGGCATCCTAGCAAAGCAATGGATACGCGAGTACCTCCAATGGAGTAGCCCCACCGCTGAATCACGCTTGAACGTACTCGTACGACAGATCCGTTTCGAAGCATGGAAAGAATGGCACACAGCTATCATTATATTCTCCATTCCTGCTCTCCTCGAACTCGCCGTCATACTCTTCGTTTCTGGTATGACAATATTTCTTTGGACGCTCGACCTCGTTGTCGCTGTCGTCGTGACAATGTTTGTGGCGATGTTCCTGCTCCTTGTCGCCTTCTTCACATTCTTGCCTACATTATTCAAGCGCTGTCCGTACAGGTCTCCCACCGCATGGGTGTTCGTTCTCCTCTGGAGAAAAGTCTGTACGCAGTGGTCCCAACCAGTGCCACAGGTACAAGCCAATAACCACCCGTACGACGCTCATTTTGAGAAGATCCATGTCCTGTCTAACGCGGACGAGAACGACACATGGCGCGGTCAAGACTTGCAGGGCGCGGAGCTCACGAAGCTGCGGGATCCCTGGGGTAGGGTCGCCGATGCAAAGTCTCTTTTGTTGCAGGAGCTGGAGCTGGAGATGGTGACAATAGAGACCCAGCCATCTGCTGCACAGGCACCACCCCTCAACGCGCAAGTTTCGTCTTCCAATGCTCAAGCTCCATCTTCCAATGCTCAAGCTCCGTATTCCAATGCTCAAACTCCATCTTCATCTGCGCAGGCCCCATCCTCCGCTGCACAATTCTTACCCTCTACTACACAGGCCTCGTCTCCCACTTTGGGAGCTTCTTCTGCTGCCGAACCGGTCCTGTCATTCGCTGAACAAGCCCCGTCTTCCACTACACAGGCTCCGTCTTCCACCACGCAGGCCTCGTTCCCTGCTTCCCAGGCTTCATCTTCCTCTGAGCAGGCCCTGTTCCCCGCTGCGCAAGCCTCATCCTCTGTGCAGATTCTATCCTCCGCTACGCAGACTTTTTCCCCCACTTTGCAGGCTCTGTTTTCCACTGTGCAGGCTCTGTCTTCCGCCGTGCAAGCTCTGTCTTCCACCGTGCAGGCTCTGTCTTCCACCACAGAATCTCCATATCCCGCTGCGCAGTCTCCGTCTTTCACCGCGCAGTCTCTGTCCTCCACTGCGCAGGCTTCATCCTCCACCGCACAAGCTCTGTCCTCCACTGCGCAGGCTTCATCCTCCACCGCTCAGGCTCTGTCTTCCACAGCACGTGCTTCGTCCTCCACTGCGCAGACTCCGTTCTATGCTGCACAGGACCTGTCTTTCGCTACACATACCTCACCCTCCACTGCGCAAGTAGTACGGCGCAAGACAATTCAAACTGAAGTCCTCGTTCCCTCTGTTGTTGGCACATACCTACTGGCTCTCGACCAGTCCGATGTGCTATTCAGGGCTCTTGTCAAGCTCATCGCTGAGTTGCCGGACGTCGACGCTCTGCGCCACTTGTTGTGGTGCGCACAGTCAATCCAGCCATCGCTCAACTGCGCTCATTTCTATTCAACTCTTGACGAAAGCACCCAGCTCGCGGAACTGGCCGTCGGCGGAGGGTTTCGCAATATGTCCGTCTGGTACATGCTATCTCGCGTCAACTCTGTTGGTGAAGGCCACATGGGCTCTTTCCTCACTCATCCTTACGTCACCGACTTGCCCGCGGGAGCGCTCGGCGTTGGGACACATATCATAAACACTGTCAGACAGCAACTCTTGAACTACGGACGGTCCGAGTCCCCGTCTTCCGAATCGCTGCACACTTGGGTTCCCCCGGATCGTCGCGAATCTGACGCATTCGTTGAATCTAAGGACACCCCCATCTCGCGCTCGCAGCCCATCGTCATGAGCTACGTCCTGGCGTCCAGCCTCCGAGCATGTGTTGCCGAAGCACTGCATCCCGTCGTTTTGAAACAGGAGCGGATTCACCCTGCGTTACAATTGATTCACCGGAGGATGGAGGAGCTCCTCGTAGTGTTACGCCGTGTAGCATTCGAGTCCTTAGACCCTGGAATGCCACAGTCAAGAATCTGCCGATGGGACTGCGCGCAAATCTTGGCGGACGTGTTCAACATGCTGACGAAGAGTTCTCAAAAGTGTGTGTTCGATTCATTATTTCCTTCTCTGCGGCACAGTATCTTCTTGGCCTTGTGCGGAACCAAACATACCGTGGCGATCCAATTTTCGCAGCACAACCGTCTTTGCGTGAAGGAGCGATCGCTAGGTATGTTCTCATCTAGATCTCTCTCATAGCCTGCTAAGTCCGTTATGTTCTCTGCGTTAGCTGAGGAGCTATCGTCTGTTGGCAACCAAGAGCTTGATTTGGCTATTCAACTAACACTCGATGTCCGCGACATATCTCATGAAGACTACGCTATCTTCGCTCAGCTTGTCAGCACCGCCATGGCCGGCGTTTCCCAGATGCCTGCAGACGACGTCGAAAAACTGTTCCGAAAGGCGGCTGACGCTCTACGTCTCGCTTCGAAGAAGGGTTGGGCATCAACCGTTGCTCATCTACATGATAAGTGGATCGGACGGTTGGTTGAACGACCAGTCAAGGACTGTAGGTACATCCTCGAAAGCGCCGCAGGTCCGTTCCTTCGTTTACTGCTGGCGCTGAAAGCGAAAGAACACGAGCACTTATCGAGCAATAACGGTGTCCTGAAAGTTTTGGCCAACCTCCACCTCCCTGCGCCGACGACATGGACGGACGAGCTGGCATCTATCAAAAACCAAGCTCTCCGCACGAGCACTACGTTCCTCTTGCACTTTGCTCCCGGGTGCGCTGCGCAGGTGCAACAACAGTGGTTTGGGCTCTTTGTCTGGGCAGCGAACCAGTGGCTGCTAGAGATAGCGAGCGGCAAAGTGTCGCCCGAGCCTCCGTTGGTAGACGCAATCCCCGCGGTACTGGACAAGATGAAAGAGGTCTTGACGGTGGCCATCAAGGAGAAGTACACGAACTGCGGATATGACGGCGGCGTCTTCCCATGGCTGAAGAGTATACTCCCCGTCAGTGATAACATGACAAGTACTGGGAGGTATCAGGACACCGTAACGCGCATCGCCGTGATCGATACCTTCCACAATATCGCACCGGCCCGTGAGAAATTCGGCGCGCTGGTGGACACTCTCGAACGTGCCGTGGATGAAGACCTATTTCGCAGCGGCGCAGTAAATTCTGACATCCGTCGCTTACGTGTTATCTTGCTCCGTGGGCCAGTGTGTGCTGTGAACAGTACGTGATCGGTCCCTAGCTATTCCAGTAAATTTCGGTCGACAGAGTACGATAGTGCGGTATTACCATGTTATATTATTACACTACAGACTACGCAAACGATTATACAGATGGCCCGAAAGCTGCTTCAGAAGCCCTCGCCCCCGGTCTCCTTGACTCTTTGCTCGGAGCGTATGAGCAGCGCAGAACTATATCCTCTCGCTACCTTTCTCTGCCTGGTCACCTATCTATTTGTAGCCAGGAAACAGAAAATGCTGGCTCGATGCCCACAGAGCCACGGTGACGAAAACAGCGGCAGTCGGGGAGCGTAGCGAAGCTACCTCTTGCTGTCATGACAGCATACGTAACGTGATAGTCCTGGCCTGTCTATGTCTTGAAGTGTAAGCACACACCGCGTACTCTCGTCCCTTCAAGCTCCGTCGCGCCGCCGTAAGAGGGCAGATATGATTAGGGACAAGTCCTTTCCAAGACGACTTCAGCATAATAGTATATACCTACAAAACCACACGCGGATCAGGGCGACTTGCTCGATGGCTTCTGAAGCCGTGGTCAGGCATCCCTGGCGAAAAATTAAGCATTGCGCTTCAAGAATAACCGGTCGTGGTATTTCATACGATATCGACATATTTCTGCGACAAATGGCTCATAAAACGATCAGTGGTCGGGTTTCCCCTTGTACTTCACATCGAGAGACACGAATGATATGCCTCAATGTCCACATACCAATGCGAAATCAGCCGGTGTCATGGCAAATGTATGTGACTTACAAAATATGGGAATCAGGACATACCGCCTCCACGACCAGCTTTCGCATAAAAGACAACGTCAAGAAATCACGCAGCCGCAGACATGGGAGTATTGAGAACCATGGTGACGACCGCGCGACAGCGGCTTGGCACTAGAGGTTGAGTAGGATGACCTCATCGGCCCGGGGATAGCAGCCCATCGTGCTGTTGGATAACGATGATGTAGCCGAAAGCAGCTGTTGTTCAGTGCTGAGAGCGTACCTTGATCATGCAACGAAGGCTCGGGATGCATTGGAGAAGTGGTCACAGGCATGAGGTGACCCATGAACACTGGCTACTCGGATATATGTATCGAGGAATACTGCACTGGAGAGAGGACGCAAGGGTGGTGGCAAGTAGCAAAGGAGTAAGAGCCCAACCTTGCAGCGCACTCGGGGCTCGCCGCGGGCGTCAATGAGAGTAAACTGATCTCACAAATTTGGAGCATGTTTACGGCGTGGAGCTGAACAAAAAACCAGTGTTATCAAGGTTATAGCCCTCGAAAATGGCAGCGTTTTTCGCGAGCCTGTAATAATTCCCGAGAGTGTAACGTTGTGTGAAGGCACCTCACGCAGGCCTTCCCGGTGCAGCTCAGCCAGCGCCGGGTTCATCACCATGATTTTGTGATTATATTGCAGGTATCTAGCTTGCATATATGCTAACGAGAGGGTGACCAGTGCTACGCACGGGCAGAGGGAATTGAGAAGAGAGTTGAGAAGCGAAATCAAACGAGAAATGAGAAGGACCGCCCCCGTGAGAGGCGCCTGTGGGAGTGGCCAATGAGATTAATGAGATTCTTGACGCCCGAGGTGTTTTAGTATATCAGATTAGATAAAATACCTTGATCACATAGTAAATCACCGGTACGAACTTCTGGTATCGCTCCGACGGATACTCTACATTGAGTGTATCTCGGGTACTCTGCCTCTGGCTCCACTCCTGGATGCACCCGTTGCACCACGCAGATATATGTGTCTAGTCGTGGAGGTACTAGTAACTCACTTCTTGTTACTGAATAATCTCGATCACACTCCCTGGCGAGACCCGCCAGGTTTGTTTCGCAGCACGCTAGGCGGCAGTAGTGTTGCCATCGAAGTTGCACAGACACGAGAGAGAGAGAGAGCGGCAATGTGGAGAAAAATCGAAATATATCTTGTTGTCGGGAGTATGTAGTATTGAGACTGCTGTTGCCATTATTACCTGCTCTCTTGAGTCTTCGCCCTCGAGCAGCCTCGAGCGGCCTGGTCGTCAGTGGACGCTCAGCGGCTACTGACCCGTCAACTAACGGTCGGTTGGCCTGACCGGTCAGTCACTTCTGACCCCCACTGACCCTCTCATCACTACAAAAAACTAAACAAGACTTCGATTGACAGCGATTTTTCACCCGGAGTATCATGCTATTACGGCGCATCCGCTTTTATTGCGTAGAATAACAAAACGGCTCTCGAATAAACTACCGCCGAGATGCCATCAGGATTGACTGCCGTTACTCGTTTCGTCTGTAACAAACGCACTGTGCAAGCTAGTGCCTCCAAACGGCGACCGACACAACTGGCGAATTATCACGCGCGGACTCGCAGTGTGTATCGGTCCTTGACTCCTTCATTGCCGGGTCTCTCGTCATCTTTGTTTGCGGAATGACGCTACTCGCCTAGACCCCGAACTGCGGGGCGCCATTGGCTTTTCTGCGGCAATCGCTGTTGTAATGTTTCTTCTCCAGATCACTGTTTGCATGCCCCTACATGATTTGCTCTGGGGCTACCTGTTGTACCAGACGCACCACTCTCAGACTCTTACAATTTTGAGGCCTGTATAGCTCAGTAATTATATAGCACGTCTAGTTCTCGCTGCTCGGCCGGCGGAAACGGATGGCTCACCACATTGCCGTATATGTGCGCCACACGTCAAGTACAGTATATACCGCGAAGGACATTTTCGCCGCCAAATATCACCTGAATGTACTAGTTTGATTTGAAATGGTAGTAGATACAGTCAATTTGGGCCAAAGCCGCGGTATTGACGACACGCGGCGTGAATCTTCCTGGCGCATTCGACTGGCGAGTGCGTCTGCTGAGGTTGGGGGAAGCGACAGCTCTGGTGGGGGCACATCCGAGTACGGAAGCCTGTCGGTCTACTGGTCATGTGGCCGTGGTACAGGCGAGGCCGATTCGGGTTGTAGAGCTAGCAACTCCTGCTGCGGCATGCCGAGGATCTGCTGCCAGCGACACAAATCCCCGACGCCTAGTGGGTCGATCGGTGGTGAAGGAAACGCCACGGCATCTTTCTGAAGTGCCAGGTCAGTGCGTCAGGGATGGTAAGGCATTCGCGGTTTAGGAAGGCGAAATTAATCGGCGGAAGCTCAGTGAGGCCCAGAGAGGTTGGAAAAGCGTCGGCGTCGACTTCACCGCTGGTCTTTGGGAAGGGATGAAGTAAGCGCGGATGTTGGGGGATGGTGCAGGCTGTCGGCAGCCGGGACATTCCTGGAGGTATTGGCGGGCACAAGGGAGATAGAGAGGTTTGGAAACGGAAAGCCAGCAGGTGTGAACCTATATGTCGGGCAAGATACGAAAACTGGGCGTTTATGAAAGGAACTAGACCCGGAGACTGTGTCGAATGAGATCTAAGTACGTCTGAGCCGCCCGTGCAGATGAATAACCGCAGCTGCCAAAAAGAAATTAGGTGCACACTAGCATGGTACAAGCGACGTACTCACCAAGAAGAACGCTGAACGCGCCATGCTTGTTGAGCCAGGGCAGCCACCACAGACGTCTACGGAGCTTATCGAGCCAGAAGAAGCTAGTAAGGAATATGTGAGCAGTGGCACGAAAAACAGTTCGGACGCTGCATCCACATTAGCCTTAGAATGACAGAAATAATCCAGCCGTCGAGCACCACTTCCGTCGCGCCTTTATTGACGAAGTTGGCCGCGAACTTCCATGTCTCGAGGTAAAACACAGAGACAGTCGTGAGCATGCCGTACTAGTCTTATGCCGGCTCGCGCCCGCGCCCGCAAAGTAATTGCAACCGAAAATGCGACATAATGTTCAACTCTCCGTGTTCGCGTCAGAAACGGGTGTATTTCTGCCATCCGTCTTCGTCTGTCGGCAGCAAATTCAAATATGATGAGCCTAAGGTCTTGGCGATATGCGGGTTGAGGTCCGGCATCAGCTCTGGCGCGATTCTTCCTTCACCAGCTCCGGTAGCATGTAGCGATCGTCTTCATGGCCGATAGGACCAGAGGCGGCGGTAGGAATCGGGACTTTGTTAAAGGAGCGAAGTTTACTGGAGATAACCAAGGCAATAGCATCTCGTACAATTGAGACGTCTCGAGAGGCACTTCACGGGTTTTCGGAACAGCGAGGGCAGGCGGGGCCAGATGTAGCACACAACACCGGCTGAGGCTCAGACCGATGAGAAACGTGCTGGGAGCACCGTGCCTAAGGCTGCTGGATCACGCAGGCTGCCCTGATTTGCATTGTAGCTGACTTGCTCTGCTGAACCAAGAGGAATAACTGGTCATATCCAGTAGCTGAAACCAAAGGGCGAGTTTAAGTTGACGAGTAGCTCAAGCTCAAAAGGCAACAAGAACGTACTGGAGCTTAGCCGACACCCTTATTGGCCGTGCTCCTCAGGGCGCGCATCTCCTGCTCCGCCATCGTGTACGCTTTGCTAGAGTAGGGTGATAAAATAAAATAAAATGGACCACTGGGCATGTTCGGCTGAATAATGCGCGCTTGGTTGTCGACAAGTCCTTCCATCGTTTTTGGGAGGTAATAAAGTGGCAGCGGTCGTTATACATATTAGTATACCATCGTGGATGGCGGGAGTTGGGAACAGGTCGCGGCGAGGGTGCGCCACGGGGGGCGGACCTGATTATCGATCATCGCTTATCATGAAACTGCTATTTTGGACTAACCCCGTTTTTAAGAATGAGCAACTGCCAGCTCGCCGAGATCTCACACATGAGTCGTCGTGTCAGTAGCTGGAGACAGTAGTAGCCTCACGTTACATTGATATCTTATTCTATCTCCCTTCGGCGGTGCATGAGGCTGACACCAACCTTCGCCGTCGGCCCTAGTTCACCAGCTGCCAGATGAGATCAAAATCTTGGGTTATAAGCCTGTACGATGGCTCCACGAACGGTCGATCCCTTCGCTTTTCTCTCCCATTCGGACATCCACCAGCTCCCCTGCCAATTTCGTGCTCTCCAGCTGCATCCGTGAGTATCGTCGTACTCTCCCCGTCGTCACTTGCTGACTCACACATGAAGTGCGGAATATTACATCATTGCTGACGCAGAGGATAACGCTTCTGGACAAGCTTTAAAGTTCAAACATCGGCGATACACAGAAGCGAGAAGACTTGTTCCCGGATTGGCACAGGTGCGAGGGATTACGGGGTTTTTGACCTGGCATACTCAAGCCGCTTGCAGCCGATGCACACCGGCAACAGGAAAGAGGATCCCTCTGCGGGTCATGCGCGTCGACTGATCGCGAAATATTCCGTCGTGTTGAAGAAACAACTTGACGACATCGCCTGGCTGACTTCACTGGTGAGTGTTAGCTCGCTGTGTCGCACCTGCGTTTAACGCGTCCAGCCCAGGCCGGTCTGTTCTCCATCGTGATATGTGGTACCCTCTGGATGCCCATGTCGATGCTCATGAAAGGTCCAGCCCACCAGCAGTATGTCGACTCTTGACAACACTGCTGCCAACGCGACACTACCAGAACCTACTGCAGCCGCACTGCGTTGGAGCTGCTATATACTGGCCACGAACCTTGCGGTCACCTTCAGATTAATTGTCCTCTGCATAGGTCTTATATTTCAAGTTTTCAAGGACTTCCTACGCGCTCGCACGGTCGCCAACTTGTCGCGCGGGAATGTGGTCGCAGGCTAGGGCGACCACATGGGTCGAACGGCTTGCGCTGAACTTCTTCTTCTTTATCCGCTGATGTCTCAGACTCGTTCCCACTGTCTGTTGTCGTGGCATGACAGTTCTCTCGTCTGGGAACTCGACTACGTTTTTGGCATCATTGTGACATCCTCCATCGTGACCTTGCCATTCCTAACTGCCATTCATGTGCCGTCACCTACGGTGTAAGAGCTACTTGCTGTACTAGGCCCGCTCCTTGCGGAATTACAGATCGAAACCTGTACCGTATGACTCCATTCATGTTTCTTGTCTAAGTCGCCCCACTTTCGTTCTCGCTATTGAGCCTGCCGCTACCACTCGTATCAATACATAGACTCTCCTTCATGCATATTCAATGACACAGCATGGCCCAGTCACTTTGTCCACTTGTACACACGCCCAGCGTCCTTTGCTCGGTCAGCAACTCGCCTGGCAACCCATGACTTGCAGCCGCGAATGCACGCTGCGTGTCAAATATAATACAAGCTCCTCGCCGCGTGTTGCACAATGCTATCTCGACGATACCTGTCGCTGGGGTCTCTCGGTGCCGCAGAATCTCTACAGAACAGTCGCAGTCGCTCTTCAGACTCTTAGGCCTCTCCAGGAACCTTGTCTTCTGCTTCATATCGCTGACTTTTCCCGCGAGATGCTGGGTGGAGGAAAGCGCGGGAGGTGTTGGGACGCCCCAGCACCTCTGCAGTAGCTCTGGCGGATCGGCGACGCTTCATACATGCCCACACGAATGGCAGCACGCCCTGGCGACATGTACGTGTTCGTGCTGCTCTTGCGCTTGTATCTTTCCTCTGCTTGCTATAGAGCCGCACCAAACAGACACAGACGACGCCGCCGCCATGGCAGAATTGAATACGGCGGTTCTGCGTCATCCTGTGCATTCGCCAAGGCGGACTCCGGCCGCGGGACCTGCTGATAGCTCGTCAGAATGTGCACGCAGGATATCTGACGCACCACGGGCTTCTCGCCTGGTCATCGCGTGTAAGTACTATGCGAGGCGACGGGACGGATAGATATTGTCGCCGTTTTCGTCGTCGGTGATGGACGCCTACGTGAGACGTCAGAACAGGAGAGAAGCAGAGATCTGCGCAATCTGGGGGCTTAATACTGCGGATTTCTGGGTATCCTAACACGCTATGCCGGTTTTCATTCATTCTGCGAAAAGTGACGAAGCAGGAGCTGCCGCTGCCGAACAGAATGGACAGTACAGTAGTATTCACCCATTTGGTTGGGGGAAGCCTTCGTATCATGCATCCTGATTGGCTGCGTTCACTTGAGGGTGGCAAAAACCGGGACCGAAAAGCGAGGACTCGCGACTCTCAATTTTGAAGTTGCGCCATCAGGCTGGCCTCACTGCTTCACTGGCTCGCATACGAAATGTGGAACACCAAAGGCTCACTGCCTATAGACGACCCGCATTCGTTGAATCTCAACGCTCAGCGATCTATGGAAGCGAGGACAGGCCTCTTTGGGATGGAACAGGTGCATCAGATTGTAAATTTTTGACTCGATTAGATATACTCAAGTTGCATGCGGCCGATGAACGCCGACAACGAGGACCACCGGGGATGCTCTACGCGTCGACAAGATGAGAAGGGTCCCGCCGCTATGGAGCGCCACTTACATAACTTTAGGCAATTTTCGAAACTGATGAGTTTTGGCCTGCTCTTTCGTATCTGCGTCTAACATATTCGGCTCAGGCCTGTCTGCGTGCCGTCGTGATCTTCGCTGCCGTTGGGGCTTCCGCATCCGCGATCCAGAAGTACCAGCTCACCGATAGCATGCCGGGTTTCGAGAAAAATTCCTCCGAAGCGGTACCGTCAGGACCAACTACCGCTACTCTCTGGAGCTTCTACCTACTGGTTATGAGTCTCTGGTACAATATCGCATTGATAGGCCCCGCGCAGCTAGGAATATACTGGGCAAGCGAGCATCTCGAAGCGATCGACGGAATTATCCGCTTTTCTCTCGTACGGCCAGCTAGCGCGGAGACGTGGGCCAAGTGGGAGTGGTGCTTGCAGATCTTCGCTTCCTTCGTGTCCAGGCTTCTCGGAGGCTCTGTCGTCACCTTCATTTTCGGCGTGGCGCTGTCCACCTGGACGCGCAACTACTCGATTGGCTTCTCTCTGACGATCACCGCTGCGATGTTTCTGATCGAGGCCATCGCCTCTGCCTAATACATATCGTAGGGCTGCCCATTGCACTAGCCCCACCCATTCCAGACTCTCACAACCTCAATACTTGTAGTAGACAGCCATACCGCCCTTTTCTTACCATTCTTCCCCTCTCGAACATACTATTACCATTTGTATTTTTGCACAGACCCGTCCTCTATGTATTTAAGCAGTACAGAGCATTCCAATCATTTCGCGCAGCCATACGCGGCTAAGAGAATCGTGGTGTACCATTCGTCTCCAGACGAGCGTCGGCCCAGCAATGAACCGGGCGCGGTGTGCGTCAAACGTCACGTATGGTATGTACCGACAAGCAAGTTTCCGCCACCGGGTACCAGGTGAATTTATTCGCGTGCAATGACTATTCGCCACACATCGTCTCGACACTATCCGGAAATACTACTGCGAGAGCCGCACAGCCCACCACAGAAACGGTCGTGACCACTGCACCCGTCAGGCTCCCGAGCCTCACCAGGATTTGTTTCGTTTGCTCCGTATCCCCTGTGAGACTGTGGCGCCATCCAGAACACCGAGCGAGGAATGTCATGAGGATGCTGGTGCTCGCGGAGATGCCGCGGCGGCGTCGATGCGGTCCGCCTGAGGGTTACGAAGCGTCACCGACCTGCTATGGAAGCGCATAAATGGCAGCTCACATTGGCTATATGCGCGCGTCATGTCTTGCTCGTACACTTGAGGGTCTCCTCCGGCCTTCTGTGGCGCTGTGCCGGTGGAAATAGACGACGACGACTTTGAAGTAGAACCGGCGTCGCCTGCTGAGTACGGCATCCCTACATACTCTGGCGTGTCTGCAGGGAAAGGACGGTTTGGAGACTAGGATTGTGCCTGGAGGCCCGGTGTGCCAGTGTATCGACGCCTGCTAAGAGTGTGTAGACATGTGGTGACAGCCGTCGGTGAAACATCAGGCGCACAACGGCACAACACAGGCGAGGAACTCACACAGGAGTGTGTCCGCGGGCGGCCCACAAACTGGTCGACGCATCTCTCTGCGGGCCCTGTAGCGCCAGCGACGAGCTCCCACTCGTATTCGGCCTGCAGTGGTAGAGATGCCCGAGAGTGCGAAGATGTCGAGGTACCATCCACCGGAGGCGGGCCCTGCATGCCGGCGCGGGATACTAAGTTTCCTATCGAAGACTCGTTACTGTTGCGCACCACGGGCTCGAAACCTGCCTCGCAATAGTTTGGGGTTTCGAGGATGGGCATTTAGATGCGGTGCACGTCGTCGCAGTAGGGGATTTGCGGGACCGAGCAATGGGAGCTGGGCTCCTCCTGTCGCATCAGGGGCGGCTAGCCTGCGTCCTGACAATTCGGGGCGCATTGTTGGAAGAGGAGACCCATTAGTGATGTTCAGCGATTACAATTACAACATACGACAACTCGAACTTTTCGCCAAAGTGAAGGGTGAGTCTGTGTCAGAGTGGCTGAGGAAGACGCCAGGAGCGTACTATGTTTTGCTCGTTAACGAGCCTGATCGGCCGGAGATTATACCGGGTGGAGGATATGTATATCTGTTCAAGTAGCGGGAGCATGAATACGAAGCAGACTCTGTGGTCAGGGTACAGCTTGTGTCAGGATACCACGAGGTTAAGTCTTTATGTAAGTCGCGAGCGAGCTAGTATCAAGCAGGACGAGGGCCGTGCATATCTGGTAATTTTACAGATAATCCCGTCGCTCTGTGGGAGGTAATGAAGCTGCAGCGGTCGCTATATTGGTAGATAGTGGCTGTCGAGATACAGGAGCAGGTTGCGGTGCGCCACGAGGGCCGACCTGATTATCGATTATCGATTATCACAAATGTACTATTTTTGACTAGCCCCGTTTTTGAAATCGCCGTAGCGGATGCGCCCCCAAAGCCGCACACAGTCGTCGTGTCGGTGGCCAGAGACCGCAGCAAGTTCACGTTAGAGTAAGCCTATGTTCTATCCCTTCAGCGGTGCAAGCGGCTGACGTCAACCTTCGCTGCCGGCTCTAGTTCACCAGCTGTCAGGCGAGATCAAAGTCTTGGGTTATAAGCCTGCGCGCTGGCAGTGCATGAACGGCCGATCCTTCCGCCTCTCTTCCATTCTCCGGCGTACCCACCGAGTTTCCTGTCCACCAGCCGCACCCGTGGACATCGTCGCCCTCTTCGCCCCACTACTTCGCTTATCCGTATGCGAAGTGTAGAGTATCACTAGAGGATCGGCACCCGTGACGTGAACTGTTGCCCAGCCTTCAACTTTTCGAACTTTTCGAACTTATGAAAGCAACACGACGTGTTCTCGGAATGAGGCAGGTGCGAAAGACCGCAGCTTGTTTGATCCGATATACTTAAGCCGCATGCAGCCGATGGGCACTGGTAACAATACGGAGGGCCGTCAGGCATCTTTTGGATATTCGTCGAGCGCAAGAGACCCTGCCCAGATGAAGATTCACCTTGGAAGCTCTGTGTGGCCCTCTACACTCGTAAGTGTTGGCTTGCTCTTTTGCGTCTGCATCCAACATGTCCTACTCAGGCCAGACTACTCTCGGCCACGATCTTGTGCGCCTTCTGGATTCCCGCATCCGATCCCATCCCTCGCATATCAGCTCTCGGTAACACTGTTCTCAGTGAGATACCGTCAGGGCCGATTGGAGCTGCCCGCTGGTGCCGCTATCTGTTCACCTCGAGTTCCGCTCATTTCTTCATGTCGGCAATTCTCTGCATTTACGCAAAGTTTCGGGTAAGTAAGGATCCTCGATAGACCGTCACAGTCGCCAGCTCATCGCGCGCCGCCCAGCAGCATGCGTCGGACGTTGGCTTACTCGCCTTTGAATTATTCCAGCTCGCTGATCTCCTCTTGGTTTGTAGCCTGACGGTATTCACTTGGGCACTCGGCTATGTTGTAGTCACCGCTGTGACAGTTTTCGTCATGGCCTTGCTACTCCTGGTCACCATCCGTGCGTCCCTGCTCACGGTGTAAGAGCTGCCCGTTGTACTAGGCCTGTTCCTCGCAGATTCGAGACTTAAGGCTTCAGGGCTTGTACCACACACGGCTTCACTCCCTAATTCTTGTCGTCTCACTTCCGTTCCCTCTCTCTAGCCTCCCATTACCACCTGTATCCATACATAGACCCGCCCCTTACGCGCTCCAGCATTATATCGTGGCCCAGCCACTTCGTTCAACCACTTGCTCTTCTTTGTTCAGCTGATACAAGAAGATGCTCTCCTCCCCCCAAACCGTATAGAGTTATCGTAACAGAGGCTGGAGACGGGCGGTGAGCGAGCTCTGGGCCCCCAGTGACGTCAGCCATCGTCGTCGATTCTGGCTATCAAGCCTTCGGCAGACCTGGTCGAAGTACTCGAGTTATAATCCTGCATGCTCCCTGCATGAAGCGTCCGCTGACCTTTTTCTCCGCTGGCCTGGGTCATCTACCAGTTCGTCCGCCATGCATATTGTGTCCACCAGTCGTTTCTGAGGGATCCTTGCTCGGTTGACGTCCAGGGCACTCCCCGCCGTGATGGAGCGCCGCTTAAATGACCTTACGCGGATGGCTGTATAGGTGAGCCTTGACTTTTTTTATTCATGTCTGCATCTGACTTATTCTATCCAGGCCGGTCTTCGCCCTTGTCCAAATATGCTTTGAAGCAGCGACCGACGCACCTGGTGCCTCGCTGCGCGTTCGGAATGCGCTCGTACAATCAACCCAAACTCACGCGGACTCGTGGATCGAGAGGTGCGTGCCGTACTTCGCCTCCTTTGCCTCTGGGTTTCTCAGAAGCCCTCTCGTTGCCTTCATCTGTAGTTTCGCACTGCTCGCCCGGATGTCCGACTACGTGGTTGACTGCGATACAACAGTCGCTGTCGCGACGTTTCTGCTCCAGGCCATTACATTTGTGCCACCACGTACGGTATACTAGAGCTGCCCGTCGTACTAGGTTAACCAATCTCAGGCTCTTACAATCTCGCCACTTAATATTAGCTGATTCAATTCGTGTGATGTAACTGCTCCGTTGACTATCCTTCGCACATCGTTCTGACGCCATCTCGACAATATTTAGAATAGTATCGGAGAAGCTTTCCAGTGCCGCAGAGCACCCCGCAATCCGTATCGTCTGCTCCGCATCTCCTATGGGTTGTAGCGCCGCCCTGGTGGAAAGAATCGGGGGCACCGAGGCAGAACCAGCGTCGCCTGAGTACAGCATCTGCATATTCTGGCCCGTCCGCTCGGAAGATGTCGCTTGGAGCCTACGATTGGTCCTGGGAGCTTGGCATGCTCGTGCATCGACGTCTGCCCGTCATATATGCGGAGATATCCACAGCTGCCGGGAAAATACCGGGTGCACATATGCATGGCACAGACGAGAGACGCACCGATAAGAGCGCGCCCGCAAGCGCCCTACAGTCCAGCGGACGCATCCCGTCGGCAGAGCCTGCGGTGTCTGTGTGCGCGTCTGCGGAGCCTGTCCGGCCATAAAAACCTAGCAAACTTAACGACCAAATGTCTGAGAGCCGCGTTAGACTAGGAAGGTCGACCGTACACTCACAGAATTCCGAGGATGATAGGCGGTACCGAGCCCACGGCCGCTGCTCCCTTCGCGCCTTCGTTCGCATATGTATCGGCGAGCTCCGACGCGTATTCAGTGGTTAGTGACAGTAGAGATGACCGAGAATGCGAAGATAGTGAAGGAACGTCTCCCAGAGGCGGGTCTTGCACGCCGATGCGGGTCATGTTTCGTGCCAGAGACTCTGGTGCAAGACGTCGATGAAGGGTAAGTCTGCAACTTAGGAGGGCGCCAGGAGCGTGCCACTGTCCGTTTCGCCTATTAGCGTTGTCAGCCGGTGACGATATGGAAAATACTGGGGGTGCGAAGGGGATACATACGAGCGTATCTATGTGCGTTCAAGAGCAAGAGGAAGACCATGAGCACGAAGCATACGCGGTGATTAGGGTGAAACTCGTGCCAGGATACCACGAGAGAGACTCTAGAAGAGTTTTAGTTGCACGTGAAAGCACCAGGAGCTCCTCTGAGTATCCGTCGTTTGATTTGGGGTAAAACGATGGCTGCATGCTGACGCACGCTCCCAGGTCTCTGCGCTCGCCGCTTTCATGAAGCTATTGAGTGGATGTGAGATCTCGTGAGAAGGAGATAGCCTTTGACATCATACCTGGCTGTTCGCTCAAGCGCGGTAGGGCAGAAAACTGGTTGAGCGCAGAAAACTCACGGCGCTTTTAGATTGGAGTCGGGCCGTCCCGATGATCTGCTCGGATCGCTACTTATCTCGAAATTGCTATTTTAGACCACATCCCTCACATCCCGTTTCCGCAGTATCGTTCGAGAGCAAGTACTCGTATACAAGGCTGGCTGATGCACGAAGCTTCTGAATCTCCCCGGAACCGCATGGATGCTAGACTGTAGGCATCAGCGGGCGTATGTTGTGCCTCCGAGAGGCGTCGATCGGCCTTCGCCGTCAGCCACAGCTCACTGGCTGTCAAGCAAGATCAAAGCCCTAGGGTCATAAGCCACTCTGGCTCTGCACAGCCCTTTCCACTCCGCCGGCCTCTCACCAGCGCACTCGTCGAGCGCTGCATTTACGAGCCGCATCCGTGAATATCATCATCCTCACAACTTCGCTATTT